AGATACCCATATACTCATCACACAGAGACCCATAGACTCATCACACAGAGACCCATAGACTCATCACACAGAGACCCATAGACTCATCACGCAGAGACCCATAGACTCATCACGCAGAGACCCATATACTCATCACGCAGAGACCCATAGACTCATCACACAGAGACCCATAGACTCATCACTCCCTGTTGGACTAAGTCTTCAATGATTGCATAGGGCCCGTTGCATCTCTGACCAGCACCACCTAGCCAGTGAGCTGGAGCACGTACACCAAGCCCTCAAGATGAATGGATATTCTGACCGTACAATCCGCAAAGCTGTCTCCCCAGCCATGGGGAGACAACCATCTGAGAATCCAACCAAAACCATCAGTTTGCCATACATAGCAGGGGTTACCAAAAACATTTCCAAAATCTTAAACAAACGCAAGCTCCAGGTTCGTTTCAACACAGTACACAAATCCGTGATTTGATCCATCTGTAAAGGATGTGGTTTCTGACATGCAATAACCCCGGTGTCTACAAAACTGAGTTGTGGTTGCGGCAGCAGGTTACATTGGGGAAACGAAACGACATGTCTCAGACCGCGTCCGCGAACACAAGGCGGATCTGAAACACGGTAGGGCCAATACCTCTGCCGTTGCTGATCATTGCTTTAACGCTGTGGGCTCACACACAATGTATTTTTTCCAAGACGAAAGGTAGCCATCCAGATATACAAACACGGACACAACTTTAACCGAGAGGATGGGTACACACTGAGCAATAATTGGAAGGACGTTATTAACCAGGTAAAGTCTTAACTGACTGTGATGTTTCCATCCTACCTGCCAATGTCAGCTGTTATTTCCGACTCTCTGTGTGTCTTTCTCTCTCTCTCTGTGCATCTCTCTCCGATCTCTCTACTCCAGTGACCCGGGGCTGCTGCGGGGTCCTTCCTGCCCCGCCCCCTCTCTCCCCCCACCTCCCCCCCACTGCCGAGGCCTACTATATAACCTCGTGCCACGGCAGGTCTCTCGCCTACTTGAGCAGATTTCTCTTGCTGTGGTTGTCCCACCTGATGACGATTGCTCGTGTTGCGATCGAAACGTCGTGACCCATTATTTTTTTCTACCTACGTGACTTTACCGAAAGAACCATGGAGTATATAAACTTAAAACGTTTATTATAGTTCATTATAGCTCATGGTTTTTGTGGGTGTGTGTAAAAGTGGGGAGCGGTGGCGCAGCGGTTAGTGCTACGCTGCGCTACGAACTCCCGCGACCCGAGTTCGATTCCCGCTCACAGCCACCAACACCTGGTGACGATTATCTGAACCGGTCCTGGGCCTCCCCTAGGTCTACTCGGCCTCAAATGAGTACCTGGTGCGGTGTGTAGTAAACATCGCGACGAGGGAGACAAAGGCGGCCCGGGCGTGGTGCTGGCCTCCCACCCCCTCGTGTGCCGCGCCGGCCTTCATAGGTGCTGCTCGCTAACAGCACTTGCCCCAACAGTCTGTTAGAGGCTACACGGGGGATCTTTGTCTTTGTCTCCTTCATAGGCGCTGCTGCTGCTACTCGCTAACAGCACTTGCCCCGACAGTCTGTTAGAGGCTACACGGGGGACCTTTGTCTTTGTCTCCTTCATAGGCGCTGCTGCTACTCGCTAACAGCACTTGCCCCGACAGTCTGCTAGAGGCTACACGGGGGATCTTTGTCTCCTTCATAGGTGCTGCTCGCTAACAGCACTTGCCCCTACAGTCTGTGAGAGGCTACACGGGGGATCTTTGTCTTTATCTCCTTCATAGGCACTGCTGCTACTCGCTAACAGCACTTGCCCCAGCAGTCTGTTAGAGGCTACACGGGGGACCTTTGTCTTTGTCTCCTTCATAGTCGCTGCTGCTACTCGCTAACACCACTTGCCCCAGCAGTCTGTTAGAGGCTACACGGGGGACCTTTGTCTTTGTCTCCTTCATAGTCGCTGCTTCTACTCGCTACTAACAGCACTTGCCCCGACAGTCTGTTAGAGGCTACACGGGGGACCTTTGTCTGTGTGTAAGAGTCGGGGTTACCGGGCTGGACTTGCAGGCTGCGCAGGGTCACGGCGTCCCCCCACGTTCCTCCGGCCCCCCCCCTCCACCTCCCACGACCGACAGGAGACGCATGTACGGGTGCAGGGTCGCCAGGGGGCCCGCTCGAGCACCCCCTTGCTGCACCCTCTCCACCTGCATCATCTCCACGATGCTCGCTGAGGCAGAGGCCAGCCCGGAACGTCGAGACGCCGGCGGCAGTGGAGGAGCCATCGCCCTGCTGATGCTGCTGGTGGTGCCGATGATGATGATGGGAAATAGGAGGAGGTGGTATGGAGGGTTGGCGGTTGAAATCATCGCTGTGTGTGTCTGTCTCTCTGTGTTTGTCTGTGTGTGTGTCTCTCTCTCTCTGTGTGTGTCTCTCTGTGTGTGTCTGTCTGTGTGTGTCTGTCTCTGTGTGTGTGCCTGTGTGTGTTTCTGTGTGTGTCTCGCTGTGTGTGTCTGTCTCGCTGTGTTTGTCTGTGTGTGTGTCTCTCTCTCTCTGTGTGCCTGTGTGTGTCTCTCTCTCTGTCTGTCTCTCTGTGTGTGTCTGTGTGTGTGTGTCTGTGTGTCGCTGTGTTTGTCTGTGTGTGTGTCTCTCTCTCTGTGTGCCTGTGTGTGTCTCTCTCTCTGTCTGTCTCTCTGTGTGTGTCTGTGTGTGTGTGTCTGTGTGTGTCTCTCTGTGTCTGTCTCTCTGTGTGTCTGTGTGTGTGTCTCTCTCTGTGTCTGTCTCTCTGTGTGTGTCTCTGTGTGTGTGTGTCTCTCTGTGTGTGTCTGCTCGCTAACAACACTTGCCCCTACAGTCTGTTAAGGCTATACGGGGGATCTTTGTCTTTGTGTCTGTGTGTCTCTCTCTCTGTGTGTCTGTGTGTGTTTCTCTGTGTGTCTGTCTCTCTGTGTGTCTGTCTCTCTGTGTGTGTATCTGTGTGTGTTTCTGTGTGTCTGTCTCTCTCTCTGTGTGTGTCTGTGTGTGTGTGTCTCTGTGTGTGTGTGTCTCTCTCTGTGTGTGCCTGTGTGTGTTTCTCTCTCTGTGTCTGTCTCTCTGTGTGTGTCTGTGTGTGTGTCTCTCTGTGTGTGTCTGTGTGTCTCTCTGTGTGTCTGTGTGTGTGTCTCTCTCTGTGTGTGTCTGTCTCTCTGTGTGTGTCTGTCTCTCTGTGTGTGTCTGTGTGTGTGTCTGTGTGTGTGTGTCTGTGTGTGTCTGGCTCTATCTCTCCGTGTGGTTGTGCGTGTGTTATGTGTGTGGCTCTCTCTCCGTGTGGTTATGTGTGTGTAGTGTGTCTGTCAATATTTCACTGCGCGTGTGTGTCTCTCTGTGTCTGTCAATATTTGACTGCGTGTGTCAGTGACGGTCTGTGTTTGTGTCTCTCAATGTTTGTCTGCGTGTGTCTCTTTGTCAGTTTATATGTGTGCGTGTCTGTCAATGTTTGTGTGTGGTTGTGTGTGTGCGTGTAAATGTTTGTGTCTCTGTGTGTGTGCGTGACCCGGGTATGTATGAGTCTGGCTCTCTGTGTGTGTGTAAGTCGATGTGAGCCTGTGTGAGTCTGGCCCTCTCTCTGTATAAGTCTGGCTCTGTCTCTGTGCGTGTGTGAGTCTGTGCGTGTGTGAGTCTGTCTGTCTGTGTGCGTGTGTAAGTCTGGCTCTCTTTGTATAAGTATGGCTCTATGTCTCTGTGCGTGTGTGAGTCTCAGTGCGTGTGTGAGTCTGTGCGAGTCTTCCTCTCTGTCTGTGTGCGTGTGTAAGTTTGGCTCTCTCTCTGTATGAGTCTGTCTCTCGGTCTGTGTGCGTGTGTGAGTCTGTGCGAGCCTGGCTCTCTGTCTGTGTGCGTGTGTGAGTCTGGTTCTCTTTGTATAAGTCTGGGTCTATGTCTCTGTGCGTGTGTGAGTCTCAGTGCGTGTGTGAGTCTGTGCGAGTCTTCCTCTCTGTGTGCGTGTGTGAGTCTGGCTCTCTCTCTGTATGAGTCTGGCTCTATGTCTCTGTGCGTGTGTGAGTCTCAGTGCGTGTGTGAGTCTGTGCGAGTCTTCCTCTCTGTCTGTGTGCGTGTGTAAGTCTGGCTCTCTCTCTCTCTGTATGAGTCTGGCTCTGTCTCTGTGCGTGTGTGAGTCCGTGCTGAGTCTGACTCTCTGTCTGTGCGTGTGTGTTTGTTTAACGTTGTCGCTGAGGGTTGGAGGAATTTCTGGAGGCTATTTTTGCGTATTTATGCTTTTTCGTTTCACAACATTCCCTCCCTAATGCCTCTGTTGACTTAGGTCTGACATCTTTATACAGTTTGCACAAAGTCTAGTCGTAGGTTTTCCAGTCTGAGGGCAGCTTTATTATTGAATGCACAAAAAGTTGTGCTTAACTTTTGACAGCGATTGCATAGGCACAGCAAAATTGAGACAATAACAACATCATATAAAATAGGGCGACGTTTCGGGCAATGACCCTGTTATTGATTAACTAGCTAAAAACGAAGCTATTGTTTTTATTTTAGCAGGTAAGGCCCACGACTGAGCTACATATAGTATCTGTGTGTCTATGTTGTGTCTCTGTGTGTGTCTCTCTCTGCTTGTGTGTTTGTCTGTCTGTGTGTCTCCGTGTCTGTGTTTTGTCTCTCTTTCAAATGTAGTTCTACCTGGCGACGATTGCTTGTGTTGCAATCGAAACGTCGGTATTCTATTTTTGCAATGCACATCTCACCACAGGGAGAGACACAAACTCCAAACATACAGCAGCAGCAGGCGTCAGGGTCAGAGGTGAACCCACGACCTCCTGTACACCAGGCGAGGTGGAGGTGGGGGCGGTAGAGGTGGACCAGTGGAGGGGTGGGGCCGATGGAGGGGTGGGGCCGGTGGAGGGGTGGGGCCGGTGGAGGGGGGGGTGGAAGGGGCGGGGTTTTTAGAGGTGGGGGTGAAATTAAGGTGGTGGGGGGGGGGACAAAATTGGCGGGAAAGTGCATTAGTAGGACGGGGGGGGGGCACGCGCGCGTGAGTCGTACTTTTGGTCACGTGACGCGGCGGCGTCACCGCCCCGCCCCCGCTATCGAGGAAGCTGACGCCACAGCGATGAAGTTGTGAGGGGGAACTCGTCAGCGATGCTTAAAGCCAGCTGCGTTTTCTTGTTACAAACTTTAACGACGACAAAAAAACATAAACAGAGCCTGCTGAAAGCGCACGTCGTTAGTTTCGTGAGTTTTAATCCAACAACAATAATAATAAAATACACAATTGTCGCCTCGCGTGAGGGAACGCGGCACGAGCTTCTTCCTTACATTGGTGTCGCCATTGACAACGCCGACAGGAAATCTTAAGTGTTTTTTTTTAAATTAAATATCCTCGAATTTAATTCGACTTAATCGTACCCACGGTAATGTCTCACGTTTGCGCTTTGTTGTTGTTTGTTGTTAGTATTATTATTATTGTTATGTCGGTCGATCAATGTCGCTTGTTTTCTATTCGACGCCAGGCGAATTTTACCTGTTCGTGACTCCACTTTGGTAAACCAGAACGGATCTTTTTAATGGTCGCGATAAAGTAAAGTTCTGTTTTTTTTTATTTCGTTGCGTATTGTTGTAGTTTGCTTCGTGAACGTTAACGTGCCGAGTTTTTTTTTTTACAATATTTAAAGTTGCCTTTCAAATACAACGTCACTGTATTCGCCGGTCGCTTAAAGCCTTAAACCACCTCAAGGCGCAGCCACTGCAAGTTCCTTGCCCCAAGCCCTGCTGGTAGAAGGTCCTCCACTAGAGGGTACTTGGTCTACTCTTCCACTCTGAACAGGACGTGATGGAAGAGAGTAGGAGTTACCCACTAGAGACAGCTCCAGGTGGTGCTTGGTCTACTCTTCCACTCTGAACAGACGTGATGGAAGAGAGTAGGAGTTACCCGCTAGACTAGAGGCAGCTCCAGGTGGTACTTGGTCTACTCTTCCACTCTGAACAGACGTGATGGAAGAGAGTAGGAGTTACCCACTAGACTAGGGGCAGCTCCAGGTGGTACTTGGTCTACTCTTCCACTCTCACCAGACGTGTTGGAAGAGAGTAGGAGTTACCCACTAGAAGCAGCTCCAAGTGGTACTTGGTCTACTCTTCCACTCTGAACAGACGTGTTGGAAGAGAGTAGGAGTTACCCGCTAGACTAGAGGCAACTCCAGGTGGTACTTGGTCTACTCTTCCACTCTCACCAGACGTGATGGAAGAGAGTAGGATTACCCACTAGAGGCAGCTCCAGGTGGTACTTGGTCTACTCTTCCACTCTGAACAGACGTGATGGAAGAGAGTAGGAGTTACCCGCTAGACTAGATCCAGCTCCAGGTGGTACTTGGTCTACTCTTCCACTCTCACCAGACGTGTTGGAAGAGAGTAGGAGTTACCCACTAGAAGCAGCTCCAAGTGGTACTTGGTCTACTCTTCCACTCTGACCAGACGTGTTGGAAGATGTCGGAGTTACCCGCTAGACTAGATCCAGCTCCAGGTGGTACTTGGTCTACTCTTCCACTCTCACCAGACGTGATGGAAGAGAGTAGGAGTTACCCGCTAGACTAGAGGCAGCTCCAAGTGGTACTTGGTCTACTCTTCCACACTGACCAGACGTAATGGAAGAGAGTAGGAGTTACCCACTAGACTTGGGGCAGCTCCACGTGGTATTTGGTCTACTCTTCCACTCTGACCAGACGTGTGGAAGATGTCGGAGTTACCCAGTAGACTAGAGGCAGCTCCAGGGTGGTACTTGGTCTACTCTTCCACTCTGAACAGACGTGTTGGAAGATGTCGGAGTTACCCACATTTTACCCCACCACACGTGGCCTCCCGAGAGGTGTGCGTGGGAGCGGGTCCTGGGGAGTGGTGGCGCAGCGGTTTACGCTAGGCTGCGCCACGAAGCACCACCGACCCGAGTACCATGCCTGCTCACGGTCCAACGCCGGTGACGATTATTTGAACCGGTCCCTGGGCCTCCTCCCCTAGGCCGACTCAGCCGCAAATGAGTGCCTGGGTGCCGCGTGTCTAAACATCGGCCACTCAAGAGACAAAAGCGGCCGAGTGTGGTTGCTGCCCGCCTTCTTCATTCACAAGCACGACCGATTCCTCTGGTCCAGAGGCCTTCGCAACGTGACCAAAAGTTCGTCAATTTCTTGCTTCGCAGGCACGACCTCGAGTGGAAGAGGGGGACCGATCTCTCTCAGGACGGACATGTTTGATGTTATTGCCCGCTTATTTATTCATTCGTTCTGTCGCTCGCGCTGCCTCTGTTGCAGTGTCCCCCCCCCCACCCCCCTCCGATGGCGTGCCGGATTCACACGGTGTGGGACCCTATGGGCTGGCTCTGCCTCAGCTCGATCGTGTTCGTGTGGTCCTACAACACCTGGCTGCTGCCCAAACTCATCATGATGCCGCACGTCGCTCAGGGCACGCTGCCCGCTGCGGTAGCTGCAGGTGCTTGCATTACCTCCTCCTCCTCCTCCACTCGTAACTAAACCATATATATATAAATGCATGTAGATTTTTTTCGTAATTTGCAAGTTGATTTTGTGCAACCGGGCGATAACGCAAGCCGCCAGGATAAAGTCGCATTTGCAAGAGTGACCTATGACTGTTATCGCAGAGACAAAGAATCGCTGTCATAGCCTTTAACAGACTTGAGGCAAATACGGCCTCATAATTATAACGTGGGGCGCTAACCTCTGCGCCACCACTCCCCGTAGTATATGCACGTTTGAAAAAATATATAAAATAGGTGGTTACCCTTTCTAGCAATTAAACAGGAGTTGTGTTAGGATGTTCCTTGTTATTAAACATGTATGCATTCTCTTTGAAACTGATCGGCCTTCACCAAAGCCTTCTTTATGGCCTCGTCTCACCAGTGTCAGACCAGAGAATGCCAAAAAGCGAACAGCGCAAAGACAATGCAAGTACCAGTGCATAGCTCGGGTTCAGCAGTTATATCTATAGGACCTTTTTGCCAGTATCCAGTACGTGTTGTTAATGCAGACTTGATTTCTTTGCAAAAGGTTTCTATTTGGTGTTTTCAACATCTTAAACAAGACCTATTTTTTTGCCAGAAAGGGTTAAAGCTATTGTTATTTTTCATACTTTGATACTGGCAAAAGAGGTCCAATAGGTAAACTGTTTTTTAATTAAATTTTACCAGGTAAGGCCCACAGAGATACATAGTAGCTCTTTTACAGAATAGCGACCTGGCTATCACAAATGATAGCTCAACGACGTGGCTTATCGTCACGTGGAAATCTATAGCAGCAAAATACTCTTAAACCCATGTTGATTGCAAATGTGGAGTGAAACACCGGAGGACCCGGAGAGAAATCCACGCAACCACGGAAAGAGGGAACACGCAAACTCCAAATATACGTCAGGCGTCAGGGTTGTGATCGAACCCACGACCTCCTGTACACCAGGCGAGTTAGTGAACATCACACCACCCCGGCGCACCAATTGCCAGAGTGTCCCTGTCAAATTTGCACCGCGATCCTCGCAATTACTGCCCCGGCCACATCACCGCCTCCATGAGTGTTCATTTCCTGTGCCAGGCTATTACGTTGTGGCTGCCCTGTGTATGGCCGCGCTCGTGCGGGCATCCACAGCTGATCCGGGCCGTGTGCGGCAAGAGCGGGATATGTCAAGCGAAGGTGAGTCTCTAACTCGCATCCAAACTACTGAGTACTCTGCTCCCCACATCTGTACTCCTCCCCGCCGCCTTCGGCAAAACCCCACGCTGACTACCGCGGTGAAGTATCAGAATCATTTGTTAGTACTGGAGGAATCCGATGAGCTATACAGCTCTTTTCAGTAGTCCAGGGACGGGGTAAGAACGTTGCAACAACAAACAGTACAAAAACACGATAGGAATCCAAATTATAGGAAAGGTAAACAAATAACTTTAAAAAAAATATACGAGTTAACCTAAACTTTTTATATCTTACCAGGCAACGCCCACTGAGGCGTTAACTTATTTTTCAGAAGCGTCCTGGCCACAGATGATCGCTGAACAAAAGTGGCTTATCGTCATGTGGGAATTTATAGCAGCTAAAATAATACAAATAATCTCAACGCGTGTTTACAAGCGGTCAAACAACCCCGGCGACCTGCACGGCGGCGTGTGGAGGTGCGTCATCCAGCAGTGGATTGGCAAAAGGGGCTGTACGTGCACGCGTACGCAAAAGGGGATTGATAGATTTTAATTCACACGGACACCAGGATTAGAGAGCATACGCAGGTTATCAGTATCACTATCCATGGGCAGATAGCCCCGTGAGGTGTCCACTGCACATTTTGTCATTTGTTGTTTTCACTTTCCTCTCTGTCTTGTCGTGCCAACATGTATGTATGTATGTTGAACTTCTTTTGCACCACACATAGCCGACAGTGCTAATTGGAGAAGAATATGCGTCAAGTAGTGGCCACATCTTTCTGGCACCAATCTCTATTATGATGTCATCGTCGTCAAGCCATTCTCTGTTAAGAGTCTTCCTCTGTATGTTTGTATGTTTGTATGTATGTATGTTGCACTTCTTTCGCACCGTACGTAGCCAACCCTGCTAATCATCTCGAAACCCAGGGGCAGATAGCACGCACCGTAGTAGTATTAGTAGGTGGTGGTGTCCACTGCACATTTCGTAATTTGTTGTTTCCACTTTCCTCTCTGTCTTCTAGTGCCAATATGCGTGAAGTAGTGGCCACATCTTTATGGCACCTATCTTAATTTTCCTGTTGTTGTTGTTGTCCATCCTACTACATATGATACACAGGCTAACGACATAATTAATAAGTATAAGCAAACGTAAGTGGGCTCAGGCATGGCACGTGCTGCTGGTGGTGATGATGGTGGTTATGCCGGTGGTGGTGCTGGTAGTTTGTGGTGGTCGTGGTTGTCCTGGTAGTTGTGCTGGTGGATGTGCCGGTAGTCGTGCGTATGGCAGTGATGGTTGTGATGGTTGCTGGTGATTGCGTTGGGGGTAATGGTGCTGGTGTGTGCTGTGGGGAGTGGTGGTGCAGCGGTTAGCGCGCTGCGCTACGAAGCCAGCGACCCGAGCTCGGTTCCCGCTCACAGCCAACACCAGTGACGATTATCTGAACCTGTTGTGGGCCTCCCCTAGGTCGACTCAGCCTCAAATGAGTACCTGGTGTGGTGTGTAAGTGTCGCTACTGTGTGATGCTGGCCCACCCACCCCCTCGTGTACCATTCTGGCCTTCATAGGTGCTCGCTAACAGCGCTTGCCCCAACAATCTGTTAAAGGTGATACGTGGGGGGGGGGGGGGGTCTTTGTGTTGCTGGCCACCCAAACCCCCTCGTGTGCCGTTCCTGGCCTTCATAGGTGCTACTCGCTAACAGCACTTGCCCCAGCAGTCTGTTAAAGGCTATCCCGGGGATCTTTTTTTTGTCCTTGGTGCATGTTTGTGTGTGCTGTGCTGCACGTTCAGAATTTAGTGTGCAGAGCCACGTGTGCCAGAAGTGCAGCATCGTGAAGCCGGCCCGTGCCCACCACTGCTCCCGTTGCGGCCACTGCGTGCGACGCATGGACCACCACTGCCCATGGTAAACGCGAGTGCGGCGATGCTGCACACGACTTTGCCCTGTCATCACGATTGTCATCGGCCACAATCAGTCCACTGCTGTACGAATGTATGTTGAACTTCTTTCGCACCGTACGTAGCCTACCGTGCGTCGAGGTACGGGTCCCTACTTCGAAAGAGTCTTGAGAGTCTTGTGAGGCTTTCCCGGATAAAACGAGCATGAATGAGAATTTACACCACTGTCTGCAGAAAGACAAAGATCCCCCGTATAGACTATAACGGACTGTTGGGGCAAGTGCTGTTAGCGAACAGCACCTGTGAAGGCCGGCACTCTACACGAGGGGGTGGGTGGCCGGCCAGCACCATAATGACAAAGATCTCCCGTATAGCATGAACAGATTTTTGGGGAAAGTGCTGTTAGCGAGTAGCAGCACCTATGAATGCCGGCACAGCACACGAGGGGGTGGGTGACCAGCACCACGCCTGGCTGCTTTTGTTTCCTGAGTGGCGATGTTTGCACACCCAGGTACTCATTTGAGGCTGAGTCAACCTCGGGGAGACCCAGGACCGGTTCAGATAATCGTCACTGGTGTTGGCCGTGAACGGGAATCGAACCCGTGTCGCCGGGTTAATAGCGCAGCGCGCTAACCGCTACACTACCGCTCCCCACCAGGTACTCATTTGAGGCTGAGTCGACCTAACGGAGGCCCGGGGATAATCATCACACACACACGTACACACATACACACGCGTGTACACACACGTACACACACACACGGGTACAACAACTACAACCGCCATTCGCCGCTAAGTGGCGGTGACGTCACCACGACGCTTGTGCCAGGCCATGTGCACCTTGAGGCCACGTGAAGTGTCGAACGCCCGCTGGCAGGAGGTCACAGGGCAGACCCAGGTGCCACGGGTCGACTGACTGAGATGACTGGCTGATAATTGTCACTAGCGTTGACCGTGAGCAGGAATCGAACTCGGTTTGCCAGGTTCGTAGCGCGGTGCACGAACGGTGACACTACAACCCCACACACACACACGCGCAATACCACCAGACTCTCGCTTCACCAATCAACCCATCGGCATCTCTTCGACATTTTGCCCGACAGGATAAACAACTGTGTTGGAGAGGGAAATCAGTGGCTCTTCATCCAGCTCTGCTTCTACACGCAACTGCTCAGCACGTACGCACTGGTCGTCAACTTTGCACATTTCTACTTGCTGCCTCCCCTCGCGAGCGCCCAGCCGGTAAGAACCTTGGGCTGACGCGGTGGCTAGGAGATGTTAACTACCTCACCCGGTATACAGGAGGTTGTGGTTTCGATCCCGACCCTGACGCCTGTTGTATATTTGGAGTTTGCGTGTTCTCTCTCCCCGTGGTTGCGTGGATTTTTCTCCGGGTCCTCCGGTTTTTCCCTCCACACTAAGAATCAATGTGTGTTTAGAGGAAAGGGAGGTCTGGACCGCCACTCTTCAACATGCTGCTGCTGCTGCCGTGACCCTCACCAGGGCAAGTGGACTGAGAAACAAACTAACGTTCTTTTGTTTCTCTCAGGACGAGTTTGTGTTCCACTATTCGGTGGCCATGCTGAGGGGTGCCGCAGTCATGGGCGTGATGATTTTTCTTGGCATGGCCGCCCTCTTCTACGGACAGGTCATCAACATCCTCACGGTAATGACAGTTAAACAAAAAACTATTTTTTATTTAACTAGGTTAGGCCCCGCTGAGCTATATAGCTCTTTTTTCAGAAGCGACTTACTATCACAAATGATAGTCCAATGCGGAAATTTATAGCAACCAAATAATCCAAACAGATGATTGTGAATGCGGAGGTTAAAAACGGAGGACCCGGAGAAAAATCCACGGGGAGAGCGAGAGACGCGCAAACTCCAAATACACAGCAGGTGTCATGTCGGGATCAAACCCACGACCTCCTGCATACCAGGCGAGGGTAATAACATCTCCCGGACACCGTGGTGCCCAGCTCACTGGCGTTGCATTCGCATTTTCCGGGGTGGATGGCCACGTACAGTTGCCTGGTAATGTTCACGGGCGGCTGACGCAAATGCAGGCTGGGTCGTGACGCCGCCGAGCGAGCCGGCGTGTTTTGCGTTTCGTCACAGAAGTTCTGCAGTCCATATCCCCGACCGCCTTCCGGCCGCCCCGGTGAATATTCCCCGGGGGTATTATCCGCGGATACAGCAAGCCATCTCGGTGACGGCGGCAGTTACAGTTATTTTTACGGGACGTTATTTGAAGAGTATAAAGAGTAGGCAAGCGCGTGCTTTGGTGTCGAATTGCCAAAAGTGAAACATTTCCAGACCCGGGTCACAAAAATGACAAAGGCGGTAAAATGAAATGAAGTATAACAGTCTGTTCTCCCTTAACTTGTGGTTGTCATAGCCACGCATTAAGGGATATCGTAACGCGATTGAGCGAAGGGAACTACTACGTCATGTGAATGGGATTAGGTGGTTCGTACGGCTGCCTCGCCGCAACATCACACAAGGCGGGATGCTGCTGGATGCTTCTAGACACTGCCCAAACATGCCTCAGTCTTTGTTCGGTCTGCGCTATGCATCTCACGCGTTATCGAGGACTGTGCTTTACCCTTTATTCATTATTATAACGCGATCTTTCCACAACGCCGTGGTGTTCTTCAGGAAAGCGACTACGACTGTGGCGTTATTGGAGACCAGACTGTATAGCGATGAAGCAAACAAAGCAACCACGTCGGTGGAGACATTGAAAATACCGCACGAACATCAATCGGACAAATTGCTTTTTGCACCGTTTATTGTCCATACAAGTCACAGAAACCTTAAATTGTGTGCGTTTAAAGTGCGTACACGAAGGTGCCGAGAGATTGTGACGAATGGAAGGCTTTGTGGGATGCCTTCGCCATGCAGCAGTGGTAGCATACTAAGAAGGACAGGAATAGATAAGAGAGTGCCGTACCTTAACCCTAACCCTGATACACACAACTGGTTGGCACCACAATGAATCCCAATCAGTGCAGTCAAGGGAAATGTCAAACTTTACAAGTTTGTAGGCTTTTTTGTCTGGTTGAGTACATTTCTGTCAGAGCGGGCTCTGTTATTCATAAGAAGATTAGGTCACGTAATTGTTTGCATAATTTTTCTCTACCTTGTACAAGTTCAACAAAGGATTTATGGAATACGTTTTTTTTAAATACACAATAATACTAAAGCCTCAACCGTACAGTGTCATCAGTATATTTTACGTTATCTCAGAAAATATTCGGCACGTGTAGGCACGCCGTTCTCGCTCAGCTTCCCCCCCCCACCCCTGAATCAACTGGAATTGTGATTTTAAAACGTGAAATGCGTCGAGTTCACCTTTGCAATAATGGAGTGACATTTACACCCACTGTGAGGATAACGATGTTAATGCTTGTTTTTATTCATAGCACAAAACTGCACTTGTTGTGGTACTATCCCGACCCGTGCGAATTTGAAATGCGTTATCAAATGACAAAGCAGAGTTGTGCAATTAAAGTATGTAAACGTTTAACCCCTTGTGTGCTCTCTGACTTACTTTTTTTCAACGTAGGATTTGACCACAATTGAAAAAATGAAAGATCCCTTTTTGGAAGTCAGGTAAGTACCCTAAATATTCCCCAGCATATGCAAGTGTTGATATCATTACCAAGATAATGATTTCAGCAGAATCAGAATATTAATTTATACTGGAGGAATCCGTTGAGCTATGAAGCCCTCTTTTCCCAGATGTCCAGTAGTTTTCACAGATGTCCGATATAGTCATAACCGTAATTCAAGAGTCGATTTTTTTTTGTTTTAACGTTGTACTTCGTGGTGAATGTATTGGCCACTAGTGGCTGCAGGGGGTCGCATTTATCCGTGACGACGACAACGGACGATTCCTTACACACACGCAGTTTGGGGGGGGGGGGGGCAGGTGTGGTGCAGTGATAACTCTCGTGCACCTCACGAGAGTTCTTTATGGCGTTATCTCACCAACAGTGTTGGACCAGAGAACGACACCAAAAGTCGAACAGTACAAAGACAATGCACGTATCAGAGCATCTATAGCTCGGGTTGAGCAGTTTTATATATATGGGATATTTATTGCCAGTTTTATTAAAATTGATGAATCAACAACAGTAGGGTTTTACCCAAATAGATACACCTATTGTTGCAGGGCATCATCAAGTCTGCATTAACCACATACAGTACTGGTGGCACAACAGGCAAACATGGCTCTGATAATAATGTAAGGATTGTCTTTGAAACTGATTGGCCTACACCAGAGACAGCAACCTTCTTTATGGCCTCGTCTCTAACACCAGCGTTAGACCGAAGAACAACGCCAAAAGGCAAACAGTACATTGTTATTGATTGTTGTTGGCCAAATATCGTTAAATTCTGAAAATAAATTGCGGGTACATTTCTCAGTTGGCATTACTCGTAGCAACAGCGCCCCCCCGCGGCCTAAACTTGGCAAGGCTCTCTTGAGATTATTTGAGGCTTTTCTGGGTAAACAAGCATCGTCTTCTTAATATAATAGTTTGATGCATCATCCATGAGTGCAGTAAAACATCTATATTAATCTAATTATTGCATGGTTATATTTAAAATACACTGGATTTGAGTTACTACTTTTTGGTTCGAGCACTGGACGCAACATCGAAAGGTTGCGAGTTCAGATTTTGACTGGGGGTTCCAGTAGCCGATGTAGATGCTGAACAACGACTACAATTTCACCTGCAAGTGCTTCAAGCCAGCAGGCAACCACGTCAGGAGCAGCGGAGTAGTAGTATCATCGCCGCGATGTATCCTTCGTATTTGTGAATCGTGGGCATTGCCACAGGTCGCACGCACACTGGAGAGTTTTCAGATTTTCCATTTGTGCATCTACTGCCAATTCTAGATTTAAAGCTTTCGTGACTGCAAGGATCCATACTCTTTGGTTCTATTCGGTAAAGTCACGATGCGGTTTTGGGGTTGAACCGTGAGCAGCTTCGTAGGAGATCAAAGCTCAGAGAGGGGGAATATTCTGCGTTGGGGGGGTTCTTTCACAACGAGGCGTTTTGTTTGCGAGTTCTTTTGAATTCCATTGAGCGGAGGTGGGGGGGGGGGCTGGGGGTAGTGGTTAAACTCGCATCGTTGAAGGTTGAGCGGTGACTGACGCGGCATCGATCTCCGTGCAGCGCTCAGGTGCAGCGGCCTTGGCAGGAGTCCCTGGCGGCGGTGTTCGGCACGCGATGGAAGCTGCTGTGGCTCATTCCCTGCCGCCGCGGGGGGGTGCAGGGAATCTCTGCACGCCGCTACTCCTACCAAGCCGCTGTGTGAGCCTCGGCCCTGGCCAGCTGAGCCCTGCCCAGCTGAGCCCTGCTCACCCTGCCAGGCACACTGGTACAACCTCCTCGAAAGGGGGGCGCACCCATGTTCATGTCATTATAATCATCATCAACACCGTCGTTGTCGTCATCAGGCTTGAGCTTTCCACAGCTGAATGAATTTGTTCCCAAGGCCGTCGCCATCGCCCACAAACTATTTGTAGTAATAGGTTTTTACCCTTTTATCTGGCACCAAAACTGACACCTTTATACAAGAACCACAGCACAAGCAGTCAAAATGCAAACAAAAAGAGACAACTCTGATAATGATATTGGCACTGTCCTTGAAATTGATTGGTCCACACCCGAGAGACGGCTTTTCTTAGAGCCCTTAGTCTCCACTGGTGTTGGACCAGATGACGCCAAAAGGCGTACAACTCAAAAACAGCGCACTATTGAGAGCTCGGGGTAAGCATTTACATTATGAGACCTCCTTTGCCAGTAGCAAACTATTTGTTTACGATGGCCTTCACTTTACTTCACTTTGGGTCCGGGTGTGCTACGCGTCTTGCGAGAGGCGATTGTTTTTTTTCTCCTTACTCTATTGCAAGTGATGATACATTTTTTTTTTTATATATAGCATCAGTTAGTGCAAAACCGCGTCTCACAATGCGATAACAACACCATGCCTCCGATTAGCACGGCTGGCTCCGTATGGTACGAAAAAGAAGTTCAGCATATGGCACGTGCATAAAACATTCTCCTTTCGCGTGAAGCTTTCACTTTTGCACAAGCTCAGGGAAAGAAAGAACACAAACAACCTCCCGTGAAAAGCAAAATCAAATTTGGGCCAAGAGTGACTTCTCCAAATCTTGTGAGGCAGGCAGCTACAGACAACGCCGTCACCGCCGCGGCTCAAACTGCCCGGTACATTTCCCCCCAATGCGTTCCGTTCTTCCGCAACGCGTTGGGTTTTTCGTTGACGCCAATTGGATAACGACGCGACGAGATGCATTGGGGAACGCGTTTTTTTTTTGTTTAGCAGCGCGGATGCGACATTGGACACGGTGACCGCGATCGAGCGAACGGAACTGCAGCGTTGCGCACGTGTAGGAATAAGCGGTTCGTAACGGCCGCACTCGGAGCAGCGTCGTCGCGCGAGCCATTGGGATGCTGCTGGATGCTTCTGGACGCTACTCCACACGCGCCTCAGTCTTCGTTCGGCCTCTGCGTTACGCATCGCCGTCTACATATGTTATTTATTATAATGCCGTTTTTCCATAATGCCGCGGTGTTCTCAAGGAACGCAACGCCTACCATCACGTTATAAGGAGAACACAGACTGTGTTTCAATGCACATTTAACTTTTTTTTGTTACCTAGATGATCCCTTGAAATGACGGAACACCTTTGTTTTTTTTGCCAAGCTTGCCGAGGATTGTTGAGTGACGGACGCACGGGCAAAGTTGAAGAGAAAAATGTTTTCCCAAAGAGGGACGGGGGAGCGTTTTGATTGCCGGGAAGGGGGAAAGCCCCCCCCCAAGGGTATTAACATTTACGTGCCTTTGAAATGTCGATGGTGATCACTCGTGTCCTTGCGATTGCTGCTACTGCTGCTGCCGCCGCCGCAGCACAAAATTACGTGGATTTGATTCAAGGCCTCTTTGTTTTACTTGGCAAAGTATGTCAAGGCCCAACTCCAAGATTTCTCTTGCTGCCAATTTTTCACCTACATTTTTGTTGCTAAAATCGTGGCCCCCTTTCATCATGTTGCGAGTGAAATTATTGGTTTTTTTTTGGAATTGTTTTTTTTTCATATTTGTAGAATTTGTTACTTCTAAGGTGGTTGGCTGTGCTCACAGGCACTGTTGATCATGGGTTAGAATCCAGGAATCCAAAATTGATTCAACGGAACTAAAACTATTTTTTATTTTACCAGGTAAGGCCCCTCTGAGATATATAGAGCTTCTCTTCAGAAGCGACCTATCCACAAATTATAGCTTAACCAAGTGGCTTATCATGTACGTTGAACTTCTTTCGCACCGTACAGAGCCATCCGTGTTAATCGGAGGTGCGTGGGAAGGACAAAAAAATAAACACAAAAAGCAGTCGTGTGGAAATTTATAGCAGCAGCCAAATACTCTAAACGCGTGATGTCAATTCTAAATGTGGAGGGAAAAACCGGAGGACCCGGAGAAAAGTCCACGCGACCACGGGGGAGAGAGAGAGAGAGAGACGCGCAAACTCGAAATATACAGCAGGCGTCAGTGGTCGAGATTGAAACCCACGACCTCCTGTATACCAGGTGAGGTAGTTAACATCTCGCCACCGGTGGTCTTAGATTGGCCACCAACACCGACACAAAAAAAACCCACCACGGAAAAATTTGGTTGTTCACTTCGTTTGGCTAAATTTCAGTTCTGAAAATTAAAATATCGCTGCGACCGTCGTGCGACGAACCTCGCGTTCGTGTGGCACGTCCCTGCGCGTACGGACATCGGGCGACGGCGAGAGGGCCAGAGGCACCGGACAGCGCTTGATTATGCACGGAAGGAGGGTATAAAAAGGGAGATACAAAAAAAAAGACCCACCGACTAACTGACAAACCCGCACGCCTCTTGAAATTAGTTTTTATTTTAGTTTTAAACATTAAACCCCCCCCCCCCACCCTGTCGTGTCCCCTTGCACCCGTTAATAATTTTTATTGGGGTGTATCGTGTTGTAAAGCGTGCATACACCCCCCTCCCCCCTTTTCTATTTTTGTATCAGAAGCTTGTTATATATTTATTTTGTTATTTAATTTAAAGCCCGCCGCAAAGAACCGTCCCGTCATACTAATAATAATAATAACGAGCCAGAAACGCGAGCCACATGGCGCTCCGCGTCAATGTTACGCACCCAGCATCTGAGACTCGTCTCTGTTCTCCGAATCCCAGGACCGTTCCCAAAAACACGTTAACGCTCCATTTCTTCCGAGAATTTCGGCGCGGCTCTGTATAACGTTTCGCCGCCGCCCGCCCGCCCGCCCGCCCCGCGCCTAGACCACACATGGGGATCCTAGACTACCAACAATCGTGCAACGAAACGTCCCCAGACAAGCGCACGGCTAAAGCTTTAATAATAAACGTAAAAAATCAAATCCTACACAACCGCCACGGTGGCTGACTTCCTCGCCTGGTATACAGGAGGTTGTGGATTCGATCCTGACCCTGTGACGCGCCTGTATATTTGGAGTTACGCACGTTTTCCCGCTAGTCGCGTGTTTTTTTCTCTCTCCTGGATCCTCCGTTTTTTTCCTCTCCACATTAAAAAAAAAAGAACGTCACTACATTTATATTTGGTTGCCGTAAATTGCCATGCGATGATGATGATGATACGCTCACTTCGTTGAGTTATCATATGTGATAGCCAGGTCGCTTCAGAAATAATGAGCCCCATAGAGCTAAGTGGGGCCTTACCTGGTAAAATCAAATAAAAAAAAACCTTTTAGAAAATATGAATAAAATGTTTCCCTGCATAGCGCGTGCCCAGCTGAGGGGACGTAGAGGCGGCGGAAGATGTGAGAAAGGTAGCCCCCCCCCCTGCGCGCATTATTTAACCCTGCTCATCCCCCCCCCGCCCCCGTGTTCAAGTCGTCTGCAAGTCTGCAGGGTATGTGTACCGTGTGTGGAGAGCGATCGCATAGCGGTTAGCGGAACGCTGCGCTACGAACCCGGCGGCCCGAGTTCGATTCACGCTCAAGGCCAACACCAGTGGCGATTATCTGAACTGGTCCTGGGCCTACTCCGCTCGGTCGACTTAGGCTTAAAAGAGTACCTGATGCGGTGTGTGTAAGCATCGCCGCTGGGGAGACGAAGGCGGTCGGGCGTGGTTCTGGCCACCCATCCCCTCGTGTGCCTTTCCAGCCTGCATAGTTGCTCGCTAACAGCACTTGCCCCAACAGTCTGTTAAGGCTATACGGGGGGTCTTTGTCACCCCGTTCGTCCTCCGAGTCTGGGAACACTCGAGCCCCTCGGCATTAATTTTATTCGGAGAGATGCGTCAGAATCAAAATCTTTATTTTTACTGGAGGAATCCGATGAGCTATGAAGCTCTTTTCCACAGATGACCAGTAGCGGCATGGGGTAAGAACCTTTTAACAGTACAAAAACACGATAGGATTGCAAAGTATAAGAAAGGTAAACAAATTAACCAAAGCACATACAAATAAAATTAAACCATCCTATCAGGCAAAGCCCGCTGAGGTATTAACTTATTTTGCAGAAGCGACCTGGCCACAAATGATAGCTCAACAATGTGGCCCATCATTTGGACATTTATAGCAGCAAAATTATCTGAATAATCTCAACGCATGTTTCTAAATGTGGGGGGGGAAACCGGAGAACCCAGATGAAGATAATGCCTCACCACCGTGGGCGTAGCAGCAGCAGCAGTAGCTAGCGCCCGGTTTTTCTAATAACGTCGTTGCGCGCTCCGATGCAGAGTAACCGTGGTGGCGCGACCGCCGCACTCTCTCCTTACACGATAGCCGGCACCAAAAACTGTATTCAGCATGCCTTGGGTCCTGGGCCCTGGGCCCTGGGCCCTCGGCCCTCGCCCCTTGCGCATGTGGTGGCCTTTGCGGGAGCCTCGGTGCCAATGGGAGTTATTTTGTTTGAGTTTTTACGCGCGAGTCGTCGGCACTGAATCCCGGTTTGGGGTCCGACTCAGCCCATCGATCCACAAAGGGGCAGGGGGGAAGGGGGGAAGGGTTGAGGGGTGGGGGGTCGACATGGCGCTGACGTGACGCATCGCTCCCGTCCACCCCCCCCCACGCACGAATCAAACTTTCTCCTGCACGGTGTCCGTGCCGCAGCCTGCCCCGCCCCCTCCCCTCCGCTTCCCCCACCCTCTCGAAGATTTTGGTTGAGAACAGCTGAGGTGTAATTCCTGAAGGTTGTGTTTCTTGGGCTGGTTTAGGTGGGGTGGTGGGGGGGGAGTGGGCTGCGTGGGGGAGTGGTGGGGTGGGGGATGGTTGGGGAGTGGGGGGCGCGGGGAAGTGGGGGCGGGGGGTAGGGGAGTGGGGGGGGGCGTGGAATCAAAATGAAATGTGCCCCCGCGCGCTTTAGGAATTTCTGGCAGCGGCTTTATTTTCACGTTCGTGATCATCGTATTCCTCGTTACTCGCGTTATTAAAACTGCTGCTGTTGTGCACCCGGTAACCGCGATGTACGTACCGTGCGTGGAACTTCTTCTTTCGCACCGCCGTACGTAGCCAACAGTGCCTAAATCGGAGGTGCGCGGGGAAGGGGGGAAGGACAACAAATTAAACATATCAAAGCAGTTCTAAGTGAATGAGATTAAA